ATGGTATTAGTTGGGTGAGGTGAGTACATGTCAAGTGGGTGGGATGCCAGTTCGATGAGGTAAGCAGGGTGCCAGGTGGGTGAGTCAGCAGAGTGCCAACTGGGTGAGTGAGTAGTGTGCCAGCTTAGTGAGGTGGGTAGGGTACACAATGAGTGGGGTGCCAGGTATTTGGATACTGGAGAGCTAGGTAAATGAAGTGTTTGCTTAGGATAGGCCAGGGTTTGGGTGGGGTAGTGATTGCATTAGGTTGGGGCAAGTGTTGCTTTGGCTGTGAAGGGTGGAATATCAGATCGAATGTCGAAAAATACCTTTTGATTTGATGAACTTCCGATTGGTGTCGAAGGTAAATGTGTAAATAATCTTGGAGCCCTGCTGATGCTGTTCAATCTCAAAATCATTTCCCTAACTCAGGTGACCCCTTGCAGGCAGTCTCCTCCCCAACTATACTCCTAGCCCCTCAATCCCAACATTTCATTTCTCCTTCCAATCCCACTCCCCAATCTCATTTCATTCCCAAATTATGCATCCCAGGACACACACCTCACCTAGGCAGTATCCACCTACCATGGGAAGCTTGAGCTTATTGGATTTATCAAATTAAAACAAATTAGTAGAATTATAATTGCAGCATATGTCAATAAATACTGCAGTGGGTACTTTCCTCTTGGGCACAATCTGTGTTTGTTCCTTGTTCTTTGAGCTGATCCAGAGCTCCATCAGGTTTCACGCTGGTGCTAACTGTAGTTTGATGGTGGATCTGTGCCTGTACTGAGGGATCATCACCTGTTTCGGAGGGTACCTTCTGGAAAGACACAGTCACTAGTAAGAACCTGAGCATTCAACATAGCCTGGAATGACTCCTATATCTAGATGCAGTGTGATATTAGCAGCCAGTGGTAGAGCTTGTTGATGCAGTGATATGAGTTGTGACCTACCTCCCTCACGGAGATAGTACACTTTTGAAATAAGCATCTACAAGCTATGCTTTTCATTATGGAAAACATAAAGTCCTATTGAGTAACTTCAATTTTATAAATATTGCTCATACTGTTCCCATTGACTGTATCCACTTGAGCCTTCTGATATTTATTCCTGTCCTAAGTGGAAATAATTATCAAATATTCCTTGAAAATGGAGTCACAGGTAGACAAGGTGTTGAAGAAGGTGTTTGGTATAGTTGCCCTTATTGGTCAGTGCATTGAGTGTAGGAGTTGGGAGGTCATGTTGTGGCTGTGCAAGACATTGGTTAGAGATAGTAAGAACTGCCAATGCTGGAGTCAGAGATAACATAGGGTGGAGCTGGATGAACACAGCAGGCCAGGCAGCATCAAAGGAGCAGGAAAGCTGATGTTTCGAGTCGGGACCCTTCTTCAGAAAAAATGTTTTTCTGAAGAAGGGTCCCGACTCAAGACATTGGTTAGGCCACTTTTGGAATACTGCATTCAGTTCTGGTCTCCCTGCATTACTAAACTTGAAAGGGTTCAGAAAAGATTTCCAAGGATGTTGCTGGGGTTGGAGAGTTTGAGCTATAGAGAGAGGCTGAATACGTTGAAGCTATTTTTGCTGGAGCGTCGGAGGCTGAGGGATGACCTTGTAGAGGTTTATAAAATCATGAGGGGCATGGATAGGGTGAATAATCAAGGTCTTTTTCCCAGGTAGGGGAATGCAATACTAAAGTGCTTAGGATTAAGGTGAGAGGGGAAAGATTTAAAAGGACCTAAGGGGCAACATTTTCGCACAGAGGTTGGTGTGTGTATGGAACGAGCTGCCAGAGGAAGTGATGGAGGCTGGTACAATTAAAACATTTGAAAGGCATCTGGATGGCTACATGAATAAGAAGCATTTAGAGGGATATGGGCCAAATGCTGGCAAATGAGACTAGATTAATTTCGGATATCTGGTCAGCATGGATAAATTGGATCAAAGTGTCTGTTTTCATGCTGTATAACTCTATGACTCTATGTTCTCCTGCACTTGAAGACCCTCCGAGAGGATTTCTGTGCAGTCTGCTCTTCCGATCCTACTGGTGGTCACTGATGTCATATTCCCCTCATCTCTCTGGCTGCACTGTTATTATCTCGGGGAAGATACACCCTAGGGAATCCTCAGCCTCCTACACTCCATAGCATCTGCAGCAAGTCCTTGTGGTTATTAAGGAAACATGAAGTGTTCTGGAGAACTAATGTGGGAAACAGGTTTCTACTGCTGCTTTCTGTTTCTTCAAAAATGCAGAATGTTCTATTTAATTTTTCTGACTATTTATCTACAGACAGATTCCCCTCCCAAGCTCAATTACTTATTGACTCAGAAATTCTATTTGGGGTCAGAAACTCTGTACTGAACTTGGTCAGATCATCAGAACATCTAGGTGTCTGTGCTGGAGATTTCTGAACGTGGAGTCCCTGTGCTCCCACTACAAAGCTGCCCAGGAATCAATGAAACCAGGAGCAAAAAAAAGATGTTTTTGAAAACTACACCCCTTTGTAGAGTGGTCAGTGTGTCATATTCAGGGATATAACTTTCCAGCAGCACAACCAGTCCCTTTGACAGCTACTGAGAAAGAGTAAGCGTGTAAGGTAGGTGCAGGGCTCAAGAGGATGTTGGGTGAATCGTTGTGGTGGGTAGAGTGCCAGGTGGATGGGATGCCATGAAGATGAGGTGAGTAAGGTGTCAGGTGGGTAGAGTGCCAGGTTTCAGTGTTCCAGGGAGCTAGGTAAGTGAATGGGTGGTTTGGATGGGATGGTGATTGCGTTGTGCTGGCTCTGATTGACAGAATGTCAAGAAAATACCTTTTGATTTGATCAATTTCATAGAATCCATGCAGTGCAGAAGCAGGTCATTCGGCCCATCAGGTCCACACCAACACTGCGAACATCATCCCACCCACACCTATCCACCCCCAACCCTATATTTCCCATGGCTAATCCACTTAAACTACACATTGCTGGACACTGTGGGCAATTTAACATGACCAATTCAACTAATCTGCACATCTTTGGACTGAGGGAGGAAACTGGAGCACCTGAAGGAAACCCATGCAGACACAGGGACAATATGCAAACTCCACATAGACAGTCACCCTGAGAGTGGAATTGAACCTGGGTCTCTGGCTTTGTGAGGCAGGGGTGCTTACCACGGAGCAACCGTGCCACACATGCTGATTTGCTTTTAAAAATATGCAACCAATGTTGGAGCACTATTGATACTGTTCAATCCTGAAAACATGTCCTCAATTCAGATCACCTCTCATAGTCAGTCTCCTCTCCACCCATGTTAATAACCCTCCAATCTCACAACTTCATCTCCCCCTCCATCACATCATTACCCACTCTCATTTCATTCCTGAATTATGCATCCCTCCTTCCATTGCCATACCTTCAGTGTATCCACCTCCCACATAAACACACAATATGGTCACATTATTCATATTTCTAGTTTGAGATTGCTGACACAGATCATCAAAATGACTAAATCGGAACATTTTCCTTCAATTTCAGGTGATGATTCCATTGAGAAAATAAACTGATTAGTAGAATTACAATGATGTAGAATAAATGTCAATGAAGAATGAAATGGATACTTTCCTCTTGAGCACAATCTGTGTTTGCTCTTTGTTCAGGGGACTGATCTGGAGTTTCTTCGGGTTTCACGCTGCTGTCAGCTGTAGTTTCATGGTGGATCTGTGCCTGCACTGAGGGAACATCACCTGTGTCAGGGGGTACCTGCTGGATCAACACAGTCACAAGTAAGAACCTGAGAATTAACCACATGTCGGTATTTGAGATCCCACTGCCTAGATGGAGTATGACACTAGCAGCCAGTGCTAAACCTTAAAGTTTGTGATCTCCAGATCATTACCAGTGCCTCATACAAATTGTCAAAGTGATAAGAAGGTTAGGGGAGTAAACACATAGCTGAAAGCTTGGTGTGGGAAAGAGGTGTTCCATTTTGTGGGACACTGACATCAATATTTGGACAGGAGGACGTACTCTGGGGACAGACTCCATCTGAACAGTTCTGGGACTAGGATCCTTGCAAAAAGGCTAGATAGGGTGTTCACAAGAGCTTTAAATTAGTTAAGGCTTGAGGAGAGAGCTCAGCAGATGTTATTCAAGTTTCCAGAATGAGGAATAGGTCAGAGAATATGGAAAGGGTCAGAATCTAACTTCAGGCAAGCAGATAAGGGGACAAGCAAGAGAAGGAGGGGGTCAATGCAAGACTGACGGTGCTGTACCTAAATGCATGCAGCATACGAAACAAAGTAATTGAGCTTGTAGCACATATTGAAATTAGCAGGTACAATGTTGAGGATCTGGGCTGGGAGCTAAAGTTCCAAGGATACTCATCCTTTGTAAGGATTGACAGATGGAATGAGATTAAATTGATTGCAAGAATTGATAATAGGTAGAAGGGCGTCAAATCTGTATGGTTTCAGTTGAGGAACTGCAAAAGAGAAAACATTTTGTTAGGAATAAGTTACAGGCCTCCTAGCAGTGGTCAGAATATGGGCAGAAAATAAATCAGGAGATGGAAAAGGCATGTGAGAATAGCACTGTTGCAATAATCATGTGAGACTTCAATATGCCGATGGACAGGTTGGTAGTGGATCGCAAGAAAATGAATTCATGGATTGTCTACAAGATGGGTTTTTTTTTGGAACAGCTTGTGGTAGACCCCACTGGGAAGCAGGCAGTTCTGGATTTGGTGATGTGTAATGGGGCAGACTTGATTAGGGATCTTAAGGTGAAGGAACACCTTAGGAAGCAGTGACCATAACATGATAGAATTCACCCTACAATTTGAGAAAGATAAGTTGGAATCAGATGCAATGGTATTACAAATGAGTAAACGGAACTACAAAGACATCAAGAAGGAGCTGCCCAGAGTTGTCTGGTAGTGGAGCCTAACAGGGAAGATGTGTTTCAAGAATTGTGTTTCTAATAGCATACACAGATCATAAAATGATGAAATAGGATCATTTTCTTGTATTTTAGCTGATGATGTGATTTAGTAAATGAATTACATGGACAGAATTACAACAATGTCAATAAATAGCGCAATGGATACATTCCCCTTGGGCACAATCTGTGATTGTACCTTGATCAGGGGGCTGTCAACTATATGTAGATGGTGGATCTGTGCCTGTACTGAGGGAGCATCACCTGTGTCAGGGGGTACCTGCTGGAACAACACAGTCACTAGTAAGCACCTGAGCAATAACTACATCTTGGAATCAGAGAGATTCCTATATCTTGATGGATCATGAGACAAGCAGTCAGTGCTAGATCTCAAAGTTTGTAATCTCCAGACCATTACGAGCACCTCATGCAAACTACCAAAGCAATAAGAAGATTGGGAAGTAAACATCTGGCTAAAGGAGTGGTGTGGGAAAGAGGAGATCCATATTTTGGGGCACTGGCGTCAATATTGGGACAGAAGAGGACTTACTGTGGGAATGAGCTCCATCTGAACAGTTCTGGGACTAGGACCCACGCAGAATGGCTAAATAGGGTGGTCACAAGGGTTTAAACTAGTTAAGAGGTAGGGAGAGAGCTCAGCAGATGTTATTAAAGTTTCCAGAAGAAGGAATAGGTTAGAGAGTATGGAAAGGGTCAGGAATCTAACTTCAGGCCCAGCAGATAAGGGGACAACTGTGAAAAGAGGCTGGGGTGGGAGCTGGGGTGGGGGCGAGTGGTCAATGCAGGACTGAGATTGTTGTACTTAAATGCATGCAGCATGAGAAAAATAGTAAATGAGCTTGTAGGACAGACTGAAAATGGCAGGTAAGATGTTGTTGGTATCACAGAGATGTGGCATCATGGGAATCTGGGCTGGAAGCTAGATATTCAAGCATATGCATCCTATTGGAAGGACAGGTAGATGGTCAGAGGGGACAGGGTTAGCTCATGAAGATGAAATACAATTAAATTGATAGCAAGAAGTGATAATAGGTAAGAATGCATCAAATCTGTGTGGGTTGAATTGATCAACTACAAAAAAGACCCTGGTGGGAGTTGTTTAAAGGCCTCCAGCAGTTGTCAGGATGCAGGGCAGAAAATAAATCAGTAGATAGAAAAGACATGTAAGAAAGACACTTTTGCAATAATCATGGGCAACTTCAATATGCAGGTGGATAGGGAGAATCAGATTGGTTGCTGATCTCAAGAAAATTAATTCACGGATTGTCTGCAATATAGTTCATTGGAGTAGCTTGTGGTAGAGCCCATGAGGGAATAGGTAATTCTGGATTTGGTGATGTGCAATAGGGCAGACTTGATTAGGAAGCTTAAGGTGAAGCAACCCCTAGGGAGAAGTCAACATAATGTAATAGTATTCACCCTGCAGTTTGAGAGGGAGAAGTTGGAATCAGATGTAACGGTGTTACAGTTGAGTAAATGTAACTATGAATACGTGAAGGAGGAGCTGGCCAGAGTTGATTAGAAGGGGATCCTAGCAGGGAAGACGTGTTTCAAGAATCATGCTTGTGATTGCACACACAGATCATGAAGTGATGAAATTGAGTTATTTTCCTTTTATTTCGGCAGATGATTTGGTTTAGCAAATGAATTAAATGAACATAATTGCAATGATGTGCAACGTATGTCAATAAATAGAGCAATGGGTACTTTCCTCTTGGGCGTCATCTGTGTTTGTTCCTTGATCAGGGGGCTGATCCAGAGTCCCATGAGGTTTCACACTGCTGTCAACTGTACTTTGATGGTGGGTCTGTGCCTGTACTGAGGGAACATCACCTGTGTCAGAGGGTACCTGCTGGAGAAACAGTCACAGGTAA